ATATGTAAATCATATGATATCATATGATTTGCTATAAAATTACTAATAAAAATGATCTACGTCACCCCTACCCTTAAATACCTTAACTATGCCATTACAATCATCTATATCAACAAAAGCAATTACATCATCTCAAATAGCACAATCAACTGCATCAACACAATCAACAAATTTAAACAACTTATTGCAGTCTATTTTTTTAACAAAAAAAAGAAAAGCTGATGCAGCAACTTCTAACCTTCTCATGACTATTACTAGCAATAAGTTTAGCAAATAATTATTTATGAGTTTTGTAAGTTTTATTTTATTTTATTTTATTTTTTTTTTAAAAAAAATATTTAAAAATATGATGATGCTTTTATAATTTAGCTCAAGTTATTGTTGACTCTTCTCCTTCTGCTGTTCTTCATGATGAAAATCCAGGTTAATATGTTTATATCATTAATATGTATTTTATCTTTTAATATATTGACTAATAATGTATTATTTATTAGTGCTATTGCCTGTTGATTTATGAATTCTGTTAAAGATTTTAAGTGTCAGACAAAAAAGCTTCACCCAAATTGAACATATTACTAGAAAACAAGCTAAACTTGAATATATTATTACTAAACAACAAAAGCAGCTTGAACAGGTTCTTGAAAAGTTGAATGATATTGAAGGAATGCATAATCCTGCTATGGGCAAAAGAAAAAGGAGAAGAAAATGGAAAAAAACAGCAGATAATTTGTTTCAAGTAGTTGCTTTTTAACTCATTAATTAGATTTAAATTTTGCATTATTCATCTATATATTTATTACATGTACTGTAGAAAGCAGTTAGAAAACTTTCATATGAATTATTTTATAACTATAAGCAAATAAGCGATGCTGAAATGAAAGTGTGACTCAAAAATAAGTTAGAAAACAATAAAGATTGTGCAGAACACTTGCATCTTTTAGAAGAAAAAGGGTTTTCATTTAAAAGATTGTGGCATAAAAAATTATATTCAGATATCAGTAATTTTTAATAATATTATATGTAATATATATATATAATCTTTAATAATGTTATATGTAATATATATATATTAACCTTGTTTATATATAGATGTTAGTAGCAAATCATCTAAAAAAAGGGTACTATGTTCATTGTGTTAAGGAAGGACTTTGGGCTACCTTTAGCATTAGTAGAATTAAACCATTCAATAAACATGATACAAAAGGCCAAATGAAACAATGGAAACAGAATTCTATAAAAGCTTATGAAGACTTATATAATCTGAATGATCTAACTAATCCAAATTCTGATACTTTTCTTGCTTCAATTGTACAATATGTTTTTGTTTCTGAAGACAAACAGACTCATATGAATGCTATTTGGACC